GGGGGGTAGCCGGCTCCTGCTCTAGGTGTGAGTCAGGGCTCGGGTCCCCAGGGCGGAGTCGGGTCTGGAGTTGGCTGGCAGCCCGTGCAGGGGGCTGCTGGCTCCAGGGCTGGGACAGGGAGATCTCGGCCCCGTGGCTGGAGCGAGGGAGGGAGGCCGGGCGGGGGGTTCATTTCTGGACGCTAGGCTGGGCCAGCAGCGCCATCTCCCAGCCCGCGGCCCTGATCGCTAGGAACTGGTTACCCTGAGCACAACCCATCCCCCCCGGGCCTGGCCCGGCCTCCTGCCCGGCCTCCGCACTGCAGGGCTGCTGAGCCGGCGGTACAGGGCAGAGGGAGGCAGATGGCCTGGGAGCTCCATGCAGCCTTGTGCAAGGGGCTTGTGGGCAGCCGGACTCCTGGGTTCCGTCCCCAGCTCTGCCCCTGGTGGCATGTGGCCGGAGTTCTGTGAATGGTGGGGACTCCACCCCCCATGCAGGATGGCCCCAGCACCCAGAGCTGGGGGGTCCCAGGGGACAGGGGGAGAAGCAGCCTGGGCTCCTGGGAACCGCTTGGGAGGGCGACGCCGCAGCTCAGAAGTGACCTCATCTGAGCCCCGTAATAACCCTGGTGCCCCTCACTCCCGACCTGCAGCCCCTGCCAGCCCGGCCCTGGGCTCTGCTGGTGCCCCTCACTCCTGACCCGCAGCCCCTGCCAGCCTGGCCCTGGGTCCCCAGCTCTGTCGGTGCCCCTCACTCCCGACCTGCAGCCCCCCGCCAGCCCGGCCCTGGGCTCTGCTGACTGTTCCTTGCGCAGTGTTTTGGGGCCGGGGTGAAGCCGTGGGGGGCGGGGGACGGATCGAGCTGCGCCGCGGGTGCCCGGCCTGGGCTGCTCTCACTGGCCCGTCTGCTCCGTCCCCAGCGCTCGTCTCTGGCCCCCCTGATTGGCCCCGTGGTCGCAGCAAAGCGCACGCGCCCCCCGGTGCTGCCAGCCGCCAGCGTGAGTACGAGCGGGGGGTGCGGGAGCCCCTCGGATACTGGTCGGGGTGAGCGGCCCCTTCCCTGGGGCCCAGGCACGTTCCGGGGGCAGCTCGCCGGGGCCGGGGTGACCGTGGTGGGGCAGCCCCAGGCTGGCTGGGGGAGGGGCTGTCCCCAGTGCTCCTGCGTCCCAGCCCCCGGCTGACTGGCCAGGGAGGGTGAGGGGGGACTGGGGGGGGGGGCTGCTCCCCAAAGGTGCCTCACATCTTTCCCCGGGCCCCCAAGTCCCCCCTAGCTTGGTGCCCTGCTCTACTGCCTGCTGGGCTGGGAAGGGGTGGGGGGGGCAGCTCAGCTCCAGCCTCAAACTCTTTTCCCCCCCCCCCCAGGCGAGTGAGCCCCCGGGGACCCTCCCAGCCGGGGCCGTTGCTGAAGACGGAGGCCGGGACCGGAGACTGCTGCCCGCGGTGCCAGTGCTGGGCCGACGCTCGCGCCAGGGCCGACGTCTCTCCACGCTCACAGGTCGCCCCGGGCCCTGTCCCCCCCTCCGCGCGGGGCTTCAGCTGGGCCAGTTCGGGGGCTGCCATGGGGGGGGGGGGGGGGGGGGTTGGCCGGGGGGGGGGGGGGGCCCGGGCGGGGGGGGGGGGGGGGCGCTCGGGCAGTGGGAGTCACTGGGGGCCTGTGCTGCCCCCCCACTGACTCTCCTCCCCCCCCAGAGCTGACCACGGTGTGGGGGAGCAGTGAGGACTCGGACGGCCGCCCGGACAGTGGGGCAGGGCTGGAGCCCAGGGGGCTGGACCCCTTCCCCTCCCCGCCGCAGGGGGCGCCGCCGCCCCAGCACCTCTTCACTTCCAAAACGGTGGGGAGCAGCGCGGGCCCCACTAGCAGCCCCTCCCCCACACAGGGGCGCCCCACAGCCGGAGTCCTGCCCGGCTTTCCTTCCCCCGCCACGTCTGCTCCCAGGGCTGGGTGGGGCGGGTCCGGGGGGCTCTGGGCGAGCAGGTTTGGTGTGGGGGGCAGCGGGTCACAGGGTGAGATTGGCCCTGCAGCGTGGTGGGAGGGGGGTCCCAGAGTGGTGCTGGTCTCTGGGGCAGGCAGGGCAGGG